CGGCATGATCAGCATGCTCGGCAAACGATCAGTTGTGCAAATCGCCCGCTCTGCATAGTTGAAAATAGTTTCCATATTCGTTTAACGTATTATCTTCTATCCTCAACTGATTAGCCAGATCGGCAATCGATCGTTGCGTTTTGTTAACTCTCTGAGAGTACATTTGATTATGAAAGGATCGGCTGATCTTGTCATGAAGTAATATTTTTCACTATGCACTCAAAGCTTATATCTTTACAAGATCAACATGATCCGGTGATCAATTCGCAGTGGATTCTGTTCTGTTTCTGCGTTTTGTTATCTCTCTGAGGGAACATTTGATTATGAAGCAAAGGATCGGCTGATCTTCGCACTTAGAGCTTATGACTTTAACTGATCAGCAAGATCCTGTGATCGGCGAGTAGTATTAGAAGTTTCCACTTAATTTCTTATAATAATATATCTATATGCACAAGTAACTTAGATATTGATCGTGATGAGATTATGAGCTATTGATCTATTGAGCTGTAGATCTGTTTTAATTTCCCTTTCTTTTTACCTATAATACCCTGCCTGTATTGCCGTGTATATAGGTCTGTTTTGCAGTCAACGATCTGGCGATCCTCTGAGCAAGTGATCTACACTCCATTCAAACAAATTCTTGCTGCTGAGTGTCATATATAAATATAAATATATATATTAATGATTTTTCCTGGTAGTTTTTGACGAAATGATCTGCCATATTCGACGAACCATTGACTGTTGTTGGCTGAGCTGGCACGATCGAATGTTACAACTCAATTGGGAAAAAACTTGTCTGAGGCATGTCTGGTAGCACTCGGCGTCGCCTTATTAATGAGCTACTAGGAAAGTGGACAACTAGGACGTCCACTTGACGCCTAGTTAAGTGCGAAATCTGACAAGCCTCCGTTCGAGTGCTATGGCCATTGATCGATGGAAGGATGCGCTGGACACTCTGCCGGCTGCTCAAAGAGTCAAAGAGTCTTCAGGTTTTTTGAGGAGGCGCAACAAGCGCTCTCGTATTTTGACACATGGTTCATAAATCAAGTCCAGTGAGGCGCGCGCGCCGTCATAAAGTCACATAACTCACAGCTGGCACCGAAAATGATGTCGCTACAAGTACCAGGACAAGTGTCCTGGCAGAGAGACAGAGCCAGATTTAGCGGGTGTGCGCCCAGTTTTCTTTGAATTGCGACATGATAAAATAACATGCGACTCGGATTTCCCGAAGTGTAGTAAGGAAAACACAGGCGCACATTACAAAAATAAATAAAAACGAGGAGCACTTCAGTGCCCAAGGACCAAGGACCAAGACCTGGCCAGGACATTCAATATTCTGTATATGAAGCCGAAGCCGAAGCGCTTACTCTCGCATGGCACAAGATGCAAAACAAATACGCACTTCCTGCGACCTACGAAACGGCGGACATGTCTCGATCTAAAGTGGCGCACAAAAGAAGTTACTTCCTGCCTGCCAAAAAATGAAATTAAAAAGGACCAAAAGGACCAGCCAGCCAGCCAGCCAGCCAGCCATCCAGCTCAAATGAATTTATTGCAATTGCCCGTCCGTCCAATTGTGTGTCGTTTGAGTTATTTGAGTGCTCAGCTGAAATCTTAGCTAAAATTGCATAAAAACTCGAGCGAGCCGTCCAGCTAGAGCCTATTAAAGGACATTGGCTTAGTCTCATATTTTGACACCTATGCCAGGAGCAGGTCCTGCGCTGGACATGAGTCTCTCTATCCGGCAGCTAAGCTTCTTTTGATAACAACGTCTAACAATGCACGGATTTCTCCTTCTTCCTCTCCCTCTCTCGCTCGTTCTCTCTCTCTGCTGCTGTTGTCTCCTGTTTCCTGGTCTTATCCTGGCCCTGGTCTCATCTTAAGCTGACATACAATCACATTTCGCATTGTCCTTCCGTACAACGCGCGCGCGCGCGCGCGCGCTCGTTTACCTACCTTGGTCCTGCCTCCCTGCCTGCCTCCCTGCGCTGCGCTCCTAGAGCTGCTTCCTTCCCGTACTTTGCTTCCCTTGTTTTCTTGTTCTTCTTCTCGTTTTTGAGGCAAAATATCGCTGAAATATTTGCTGGCTACGTTCTCCGGTTTCCTGTCGCCTTTTGCCGGGGCGGGTCAGCCATGCGGGGCAACACCCTACGCCAGCCTCTGTCTATCTATATGCAACATTCAGGCACTTCCTTTGATTCCTGCACGTGTCCAGCATTGCCATTTGCATTTATGTATATATCTTTATATTAATATTCCTTGTGGGCGTGGCACACATTTGCATTTTCTTAGATCGCATTCCACACAAAGCCCACCTGGGCAATTTAACATAATTTTCTTGTCCTGCGTCTTGGCACACGCCTAAGCAAGCTCGTCCTCGTCCTTGTTTTTTTTGTTTCAGTTGGGGTTGACTACGCGTCATTTAGGGGTAGCTAATGGCGCGGCGCGGCGCGGCGCAACTTTCTACCCCGCGAGGCGCAATGCCTAGCCGGAAGTGCATTTTATGCCTTGTGATTACGTCCAGCTTTTTTTGTTTTTCTTTTCGTAAGTTGGGGTGCGCCAGACACGTGGGTTCCGCGATTGCGCCTAGCTCGTAAGTCTGGTCCTTCAGCTGGTCCTGTTCGGTCCGCTTCAGCCTCTCAGGCGTGACGACTGCCTATTTCCTGCTGCCAGGCAATTTATGCGCCATTAACAATGCCAAAACCAAATTGAAACTCGTTAAAAACTATGGAGAAAAACAGAAAAAAAAAATAAAAAACAAACTAAAACATATTTCAACAAATATTTGCTGCTATTTCCGGTCCGGAGTGTTGATTATTGAGTGAGTGGGTTGCCAAGGGCTTTGCCCCGAGCCACGCGCAGTTGTTGTGCCTGTCCAGGAAGTGAAACCCTTCCTTCCTTCCCTCTAATGCAGCGCGCCTTGTCCTTCTGACTCATTCTCCGTTATCCTTGGCCCCGTAAAGCACATGCCCCTGTTCCTGATTAGCACCCAGCTGCCGTAAGAGCTTGAGCTAGCAAATTTTGTATGCACATTCCCTTACACGAGAGATGTTCAATACGCTCTACTCTGTTACAGAAATCAATATGAATTAGTTATAAATACCATTTAAAGACTCTTCTAAAAAGTTTATAATAATAAACATTGAGCAAGTGATGTTTTTTGTATATATTAATGCATGTACATTTGAACGTGCATCAAGATTCGGGACGATTTCCTAGCATTCATTCAACTTTATTATCTCAGGATCTTTTAAAGCTATGTCTGGAAAATTTGGTATGTGAATTCTTGTAGGTCAAATACACTTACAGTGCAATTCAGCTAATATATATATTGCACAATTTCCTCAGAAATCAAAAAAGACGATTTGTAAATAGAGCTTAATCGTAATGCTCCTGAGTTGATATGTAAGAGAGCTTACTCGGTCTTTACAGGTTTATCTAACTTCTATTATTTATGTATTATATATTCATATTAATCGATCTAGCTATAGTTTTAGACACATCTATATGATCTCAGCTGATATCAAAGCTCCAGCTAGCAAATTTTCATATGTGAATGCGCTTCAATCAAGCTCAGGTTTATGTAAAATGTTGAAGAGAGAAGAACATTCTGAATTTCCATATAATACTACTTCGTATACATTTCTATACATCTTAAAATATGAAAATATTTAGACAATTGCCTTCTAGTAAAACCTTCTTAATGACAGCCAGTACCTCTCCTATAGACAGCATCTCGTCTGCTCTTTAAATATTTTCAAATACTTTGCTATTTGCCGCATTTATGGAAATGGTTTCATTTTCAATATACTTCTAAGCACTTGAGTGTAAAGAAGTGCTATAAATCATAGTCAGACATGCGGATAAGATAGTTGAGCATCTTTATAAGAAATACGCTTGCTTGAATCCTTATTATTTTGTGACTGTAGAGTATGGATTGAATCAATTGTGATTAAAGTTAAGTGCAGCTCCCCTCTCTCCCCTCTCCCTCTCTCTCTATGTCTCCCTGTCTTGCCTTGAAAGGTTCTTGGCTGCAGATCTTCAAGCGAGGAACCTCTTCTATGGGCTAGTTTTGGAAGGAAATTGTTAAATTTGAAATATATGCAGATAGACAAGTATATATTAAAAATTTAATATCTTTTATGACGATTCACTTGACTATTGAAGAATTTCGGCTTACATTGGTCTGGGCTTAAAATCCTTAAAAGTTGAACTTCTAATAACAAATATTTGAACGCAAATCGCCAAGATCATGAGTTTTTTTTCGATATCTCTGTTTCTGCTTTGTTCAATATTTTAGTCCTTTTTTTATGAAGACACACATTCTAAAATATTTGAAAATTTCCAAATAAACAATATTTTAGATGCTCGCTCTCTCTATTTCTTGTTTGGTTTGTAGATTTTGGTCGTTCTTTTAAAGAAAATTTGAAAATTTCATTTTAAAGTTTCTTATCATGATTCTGCTTAAAAGACACTCTCGCAACTTGGTTGGACTTCTTTTAAGATCATGATTATTTCCTCGCAGTCTCTCTCTCTCTCCCTTTCACTGTCTCTCTCATCCTTTCAGTCAACCTATTTTTAAGATTCACTTTGGATGTTCTGAAACTTTTGCTGAAATTTTTGAGAATTGTTTCAATGAGAAGAGTTTGTTTGAATTTCGTTTTTGGAATTGTTTTTTTAATTTGTTGTTGCTATTATTGCATTTCAATAATAATAATAATAATAATAATAATACTTAGTAGCTAGTTTAGTGTCTTCCATGCTTATAACAAAAACTTAAAACTATGAAAAAAAAGTGGTTTTATATCATTGTCTTCCATGCTTAAACTATGAAAAAAAAGTGTTGTTAAAACTAGGAAACTTCTAGAATCTGGGACTTGGTTTGTTTTTGTTTTTTGTTTTCACTAAGGCAACAGTTTTTGTTTTTTCTTTTTTTGCTGGTTATATACAGTTTGTACAGGATTTTTGGCTTGGCTGCTGTTCCGGGCCACGGATCTCGCTCACTGTTCCTGCCACGAGGAGATGTAGTCGAGCAGCTCCTCATCGTCGGGCTGCTCGTCGCTGAAGCTATCGAAGGACTCGAATTTGAAATGTTGCTGCTGCTGTTGTTGCTGCTGCTGATGCTGCTGCTGCTGCTGCTGCTCGGACTCCTGTTCGGTGAGCTCCTGCTTGACATAGCTGGCCGACAGATCGGAGGCATCGTCGCTGTACGAGTGCGTGGGCGAGCTGGAGTGATACGAATGTCCGGCATATTGTTGTCCAGCGCCCAGTGCGCCAGCCGGCGTTGGTGAGCCGCTGCTGTCCAGGCTATCGTTGTAGTCGTTATAGTCATGGCTGCCATCGTTGCTGCTCTCGTCCGCCAGGCTGCTGAATAGCTGCTGGCGCCTTGGCTGGCCATCATCGAGCATGTCCTGCAGTCCGCGTATGTACTCGACGGCGATGCGCAGTGTGTCCACCTTGGAGAGTTTCTTGCTGGCGCCGCGTCCACCGTTCGATAGCGTATTGATGACAGTCTGTGGCAAATGCTGGCGCAGATTGACAAAGCCGTTGTTCACCTGCTTGACACGATTCCGTTCCCGGGCATTGCGACGTGCCACCGAGGGCAGCTGCTGCTCGGCGCCGCCGTACGGCAGACTCGAATAGTTGTATTTCTTCTTGGCCAACATGGGCCCAATCGAGGACTGTTGCATATTCTGCAATTGGCTGTTGCCCAGCGGCAGCTTGGGCGCAATCAGCTGATGTTGTTGCTGCTGCTGCTGTTGATGCTGCTGCTGCTGCTGGAGCTGTTGCTGCAGTTGTTGCTGCTGCTGATGCAGCAACATGATGTTGCCGTTGGTCAGCTGAAAGTGCGGATAGTTGCTGCAGATGCTCGTCATGTTTGTTAAATATTTTTTTGCTCGTCTAGTAACTTTTTATTAGTTTTTAATCCGTTTGCTAGTTGTTGACTGTCTGGAATCAAATTCCGCAATGATAAACCTCGTCCTGCGCGCTCGCCCTTAAGTAGCTGGCCCGAGCGCTGCCGCTGCCGCTGCCGCCAACGTCGACTGCGCTGCTGCTGCAGATCGCACTACCTGCCTGAGGGCTCGTTAACTGCCTGCCAGCCTGCCTGCTTGCCTGTGAGCACAAGTGATCTCTCATTCTCTCTGTTGCTCTCTGCAGAGCTAGGGGTTAATCGCTAGGGGTTGCTCTTGTGCTCATGTGGGTGCCCGCGCTCTCCCTCCCTACCTCGCTCCCTCTCTCTCTGCCTCTCGCTCCCTCTCGCTCTGGCCAGCCCATTCAACTTGTCCGTAGCTCTGCTTTTTTGTATGTCACAATTCCTTTTGTGCCGCGTTTTCTTCTTGTCTCTCGTTTTTCTTCATAGAGTTTTCTTTAGTTTTTCAGTTTGGGAAAAACTACATCGAAATCGAGACTTAAATCTTATGCACAATGATCCTAACTGCTGATCCTTGTCACAAAATACACACACACACACACACACACACTCACACACACGCACACACATAAGAAGCAAAAGAATCTGAAGAATGAAGCAAACTCGCTTTTCAATGCACTTCCACTTTTTGTCAGGGCAAAAAATAATAAATAAAAAATATCATAAAAAAAAAAACAGAACAAAATTCATGAGAGAAAAGTATAATAAAAAACTGCGCACTCTCTACTATATAAAAATGTGATCCATCATGTGTGCGCCACTGCCCTCTGGCACTTTCGCTTGCCCCAGCCCCCTCTTCCCTCCCCCTTTGGCACCTACCTGCCGCACTGCACACCCGCTGCATGCCACAGTGGATGACTTGTTGGGGATCTGTGATCCATGCGCTGTGTCTGTTGGCCTTGGGGCAGCAGACGCCGAGGCAACTGTTCTTTTGCATTAAGCATTTGCCGCATTGCCGCATTTGACACGTGCTTCCGATTCCGAGGCTGATTAACATAAGGCAACAACAACAACAACAAATCCCACAAGTGTGTGCCGTCTCATGCATATCAAGTGCGTGCCTGACAGAGCGAGAGAGTGGGAGAACGGGAGAGTGGGCTGAGAGGGGCTGAGAGGGGCTGCCCTTGGCTGCATTGCAACTCATTTGCTTGAAGCTTTGTCACGAAGCTGCAACTTGACGTGCCTGACAGACCCCCAGTGTCTGGCATGCTCAGCGCGTCGTATACCCTATGTCTCAGAAGAGGATTAAAAGCAATGGGGTATATTCGGTTTTAAGAGAAAGCCTATTTGTATTTATCGCAAGCAACAGAAGTTGAATCTATCTAGTCATACTTATCCATCTCGGGAATTGGAAGAGCTAATCTTAGCAAAATTTGGTATCTAAGCACGTTTGGACTTTATAAGTATACTTCCTAAATATAAGTCGGATATGATTAGGATATGTGAGGACTCTATGTCTAGTCTTAGTCTAGTTTTAGCAAATTTGATGTATTGGTTCATATTGGTCTGCTCAATATCGAATCTGGCCAAAATATATTTATATATATATGCTCAGGAACTTTAATAGCAACTTTAAGCAATTTTGGTATCAGAGCACGTCTTGACCTTATAAGTACAATTTATGATTTCATTTAACCTCAATATTTATATATGAGTCAGATATGCTAAGTCCACCTATATGAACTCGGGAACTATAAGAGAAACCCTTAGCAAATTTGGTATACGAGAATGTCAGGACAATATAAATATCTTTGGCATTAAATCGTACCTCTATATGTATTTATAAGATGGATACACTTAGCCCACCTATATGAACTCGGGAACTGTAAGAGTTACCCTTAGCAAAATTTGGTATATGAGCTCGTCTAGACTTCATATGTATTCTTCATAAATAATTTGATCCCAATATTTATAAATACATCGGATATGCTTAGCCCACCTATATGAACTCGGAAACTGTAAGAGTTACCCTTAGCAAATTCGGTATGTAGTTATCTCTAGACATAAAACTAGAGTAACAATGGATTTCCAATACTATCAGGCAGTGCAGACGATTGTAAGAAGCATTTTGTTGAATTTGGTATCGGCAAATTTTAATATTATTTTTTTGTTTACTTTTTTTACAGGCGCAAACATCGCTGGAGCTACAAACGATATAAATTTTGCATTTATAATAGGCATCCATAGGCAAGTCTATAGATTAATATCGATACCCATCTCGAAGAACTCAGGAACTATAACATTATGTTTGGTAAGTGAGCTTTTTGCACATAATACTCGAATACTCTTTCTGTATAAGTCAAGTAATATTAAGATTGTATGTGGATTTTTATAAGTTTCAAATCTTTGGCATCAATTTGTCTTCTGTGTACATAACTTTTATGTACGCTTCGAGAACTAGGTCTACCTTAAAGCTCCTCATGAGGGTTTCTATTGCCCGACTATCCCCATGAACTTAGAACCTGTTCGAACTGGAGTCAGAATAGTTGGTATATGGCTTCTCTTTTAGTTTTCAATTTTAATATTTTAGTGCTTGGCAATATTTTCATAATTAAATATCCCTTGCCCGCAGTGCACTAATTTCATCAGCTTTTGCACCGGATACAGGGCATCTTTGTAGTCGAGCGCTTGCTGGGACTGGCTTTCCTCGGGACTTGTGAGATTCTCTGGTCTCTGAAGTTCTTGGCGCTAGGCGCAAACGTGTCCACGTGCGTCTCGCTGGCTATTTATACGCCCGCAACAATGGAAGTGGCCCCCATAAAGCACACTCATAAATTTGTTATGGGCTGCAACATTGTTGTCCAGGGTAGGGTTCGGGCTCGGGCTCATGGATGCGTCTGCAGTTACCGTTACAGTTGATCTGCACTCCGCTGGGGTAACGAGATTGCGGCCCATAAATGCATAAAAAAAAAAAAAAAACGTTGATTAACCTTAAGCAGCTGCCACAACGAGTGCAATTCCGGCAGGGTGCGGGCTCGAGCTGAAGGTTCGATTTTGAGCCGCTCAAGAAATTCGGTTAATCGTTTTTTAAAAGCTGCCACCGATTGTGGATTAGCTTCTCTCGGAAAATTCCATTTCATTAATGCATTTCTAATATCCTGCAGGGGCAAATGCCTTGCGTCATCGCCTACACGCCCATTGATTAGAAAATTAAAACCCTTCGGGAAAATTCATTTTCAACTCTTTTAGTTTTACATTTTCCCCAACACACCCACAAAAACGAGAGAAGAACAAAGATCAGCGAGAAAATGTTTTGGTAGCATATTAATTAGCTTCTGCGTTTCCATTTTGATTAATTAAAGTGCACGTAATGCTCGGGGGTTGGGAACGACAACAGGTAGCTGCCGCAGGCGTAGCTCGCAGGATCAACAGGATTGCCAGAGTTGCCAGGGCAACCCGATAAATTGGCAGCCTACTACAGCTGGCGACATCTGTGGCTCATGTTGCATTCCTATTGGATGTAATGGAATCTAATGGGTTTTATGCAGCGCCCTCTAACGTTCAGATTGGTTCCCAATCGGAATATTGTAAAACCCATTGGTGAGCATGGAATAAATCTTGTCAGAAATCGAGGACGATTTAATGTTTTCGTTTTTATGCCGTTTTTATGTAGCGCATAGAAGGCGACATCTCCGAGCCCAGAAAGTATATATATTCTAGATCGCAAGAGACGAGTTGATAGAGCCATATCCGTCTGTCTCTCTGTCCGTCTGTTTTTTTCTATGCGAACTAGTTTGTTAGTTTTAAGGCTTTCATCTTGAAACCTGACTCTGGCAGACAGCACATATGTCGAAAACAACCGGAACGGACCACTATATCATATAGCTGCCATAGGAACGAATAAAACTTCTTTGTTTATAAAGATATCTTGTTCAAACTCGGCAATTATAAGTTTCACAATGTTCTTAATATATATGCAAAATGTTGTCAACATCGGATAACTGTGTCAAAGGAACGATCGGTCGTAAAGTAGGTTCTTGTGGAGAAAAATATTCTGTTTTTCTTCTTCACTAATCGTAAGGCAATTTGTTCCCGCTTTTACCAAATTGTAAAAGAATCTCTTAGTCAAATTAATATATGTATCTATGGCCAATCCTTATTCTACAACATTTCCTCATATATGCACTCGCTTCATCTGGCACGCAATTTGATTGGCTTGGGTTTTTCTACGAACTCCAGCAAATGTCTTTGCTTCGCTGGCTGAGTTTCTCTGTCTCTCTCTTGCCCTTTTTCTCCCTCCCTCTCTATCCTCCCTGGAGCGCGTCCTTTGGCAAGCTGCAAAGAACGGAAGCACACTCCAAGTGTCAACAATTCCGATTTGCCGCGTCTGTTCTAGCTATCTAACGATATCGATATCTATATCGATATGACAATTAATTACGTACTTTATGTGACAGTTCTGTTCATTAAGACTAATTGGAATTCCGTACAGCAGCTACTGAGGAGCTGATCTACTGAAGAGCTGTGCTACTTCAATCCTAACTCTGGAACCCTTCACTCGCATCACGTACGCATCGAACAAGTGTAAAACGTGATGGAGTAGGTCACCGAGTTTACAGAATTTACAGTTTATCAGTTTTTGGCTATGGTTTTTGGTTTTCACATAACGATATCGTGAGCGTGAAATCTGTCGCCCTTTTTATACCCATTGAACATACGCAGAATGGGTATGTTCACAATAAGCCAATGTGTGTATCGGGCAGCTCATACTTGAAAAGATAATGAGGTCACATTTGGCTTGTAGTTTGAGTTATTTCACATTAGGATAACTCTTTTCCACACACACAGCTCGAATTTTTTGATATGGCCCAATTAGCCCAAAAACGATAAATATCGATTTTCAGTCCTCTTAAACTCTAAAGTTTTGAGCGTATCTCGATGTTTTTAAGAGCTAGTGACATCAAATCAAATCTCTTTTCTCTGCATCTGGCACTTTTTGACAAT